TGCAGAGCCCTCGGCGCGGTGCGGAGCCTCGGCGCGGTGTGATGCGGTGCAGAGCCCTGGGTGCGGACCCCTCGGTGCGGTGTTACGCGGTGCGGACCCCTCGGTGCGGTGTTACGCGGTGCGGAGCTCTCGGTGCGGTGTTACACGGTGCGGTGTGGACCCCTCGGTGCGGTGTTACGCGGTGCGGTGTTTTACGCGGTGCGGTGTTAGGCGGTGCGGTGTTAGGCGGTGCGGTGTGTTACGCGGTGCGGTGTGTTACGCGGTGCGGTGTTTTACGCGGTGCGGTGTTTTACGCGGTGCGGTGTTTTACGCGGTGCGGTGTTTTACGCGGTGCGGTGTTACTCGGTGCGGAGCCCTGGATGTGGACCCCTCGGTGCGCTGTTACGCGGTGCGGAGCCCCGGGCGCGCTGCGCTCCCCCTCCCGCGGGCAGCGGCGGGGATCGGGCGCCACCCAGCGGCCATGGTCCGCCTGTGCTGCTGCGGCGTGGGGCGSGGGGTTGGGGGGCGGACCCGGCTGACGCGATTAAAATATTGATGTAGTCGCAAAAATCGTTCATTAAGGCAATTTAATCTTTGCTATTAAATGTCCTTTCAATTCATTTGGGGTAATTAAGATGCAGTTTAAGTGATTAAATTCTAATTACTTATGCCAGGCAAAGAAATATTTGTCACAGTAATATGGTTAACTAAAGACCTAGCTAAAGAATTTTAACATCTACTTTAAATGATATCGCAGGGAAATCAGGTGCTTTCCCCTGATTGATCCACTTAGCAACATRCTCTGTAACGGTGATGTCAGTTCGCTGAAGTGGTTACGGATCCATCAACACTCGAGTTTGTGTAAACCCCTGAATCCCGCTGAGTCAGCTCTCCTCAGTCAGATTCACTTCATTATTCCAGGGGCAGCAAATTAAGGTCGCTCATTTCAATACAGAGCACAAGAGTGAGATGTTTACCGTTCTGGCTCAGCTGGGATCTGTATGYTGGCAGGCTGATGTCATCTTGGCTTCTCATGTAGGAACATGTTCTCATCTYTTTTCATGTTATGAAGCTGCAAAAGAGTACTCCCAGGATTTGATGGCAAAAAAATGAGACACAGATTAAAAGATCTCTGGGTATATGGAAACATCTATGCTCTGAATAAGCGTAAATAGAAATTACTAGGAGAAAAAAGTGCCAAATACTGAATAATGCCARGATTAAAAAGAAATAATTTAGTACGGGCTCAGACATCTCAGAGCAGGCAATACTCTTTGAAAGGAGAAAGCTTTGGGGGACAACCAACTACCTGTGTCACCTATGTAGGCTTTCATCACTAAAAAGCTATGAAGAACCTTATCCCCCAGTGGGCTGAAGCGTTAGGGAATGTTCTTTCAAGCATCAGTGGTGTAGCAGCAGGAGCTCATGGCCACGAGCTGCCTCGATGTGTGCAGGCTGTCTCCCACAGCACCTTTTCAGAGGGATCCCATTTCCCAAGCACCTTTGAAGCCCTTGGGGCAGTGACAAGAAGAAAGGGGCAGTGCAGAGGACCACTAAATGGTGATGTGYCAGAGTGAATGTCACCCAGCAGTTGTGGTTATTATTCAAGTCAAATAGATTTGCTTGGGTTTAGTTCATGTGGTGACATCTACCCTCAGGTAGTCTGTGTCGTATATGCCCTTTTATTTTGTTTTCATATTCCCCCAAATACGAAGTTTTTGATGATTGGGAATGATCTGTCATTCGTGTGTCTCTCTGCCTGCCCCAGAGGTGTTAYTCACATGATAAGGATGTAACTTATCACACTTTATTGCATATTATTGCCACCATGAATTCACCATAAGCTTTTGGCTGCCTGTTTGCACTGAGCTGTTGTGGGCAGTGTGATTAGGACTGTCCGTGATGGCCAAAGTCCTTAAACAGTTTCAGCCTCTTACAGAAACACTGCTGCTTTCTCCACCAGAAAGATATCCTCCAGGACATTCTCTAGTTTATACTAGTGAAGAATTTTCACTCTCTAAACACATTATTGGATATCGTGTGGTGTTTCAAAACTAGAAGCAGATTTGGAAAGGGGTTTCTAGGTGGACACAGTTCAGACTGTAGCTGAGGCAGGTCCCAGGCTTTATAGACTTGGCACAACAGAGATTAGAAAATGTGTGTAAAGAGAGATTTCTAAAATGGCTTTTTATGTCTTTAAGACAGTCCTGTACATGTGAAGTTGGGGTAACTGAAAGACTTAGCTTTTGCAGGAGAAGGGGTAAAAGACCA